AAATTATTTATTTATTTAAATTTTTGTAGAAGCTGTACCATTTCAGAATTTGTAAAAATTAACGTATATTATTATTTTCACGATGCAATTAATATTACAAAAATACCTGTCATATTTTATCCAAATGATTTATATGAATGTAAATAAATTCATACATCAATATACTTTTAAACGTATTTAATATTTTGTGATAATCGTATTTTTATTTAAAAATGCGGAAGTTATATCATATTCACGGCTAATTACAAAAACTAATCTTAATTTAAGATCTTTTAATCTTATCATGCCATTGCTGCTTACAATATCAGTATAACGTAAATTCGTTGCAGCGTGGATTCTTGAGCAAGAAACACGTCGAGAAAAGAAAATACAAGACTGGAATTTGATTACATCAAGAGACTATCCTTGAAAAGGTCAACTCTTTCTACAGGGTTACAACTGACTATTTTAGCGATAGCGGAATGCCGTTATCGTCTAGACAATGCTGGTGAACAATTATTACTACTTGGTAAACTCAAATAGTCTCTGGTCGGCGGATACCAGTTGCCAACTTCGGTGGCAAACATAAATGCGACCGGCATAAGTCGAGGTCTTGGTTGGACAATGTACTGTCCTGTAGACTCGTTTAGCATCCCCAGTAACTATATTCAAAGCAACTAATAACGGTTACACTATGTAGCATCGTAGTTAACGATACGTTTGCTAGTTAATTCGGGCGAGAACGATACGATTCCAACGTGTACATGATAAGATTCTTGAAAGCTTGGAACCTACGGAATAGGATTTAATCCTATCATTTGACACAAGCTGTATCTATTAATTTAATAACATGGTAACTTAACTTTACTCAAAATAACTTGATAATTCTATATCTAATTAATATAAGTATATAATTAATATAAGAATATAGGAAATTAAGGATAAAACAGTTTAAGAATTTCTAAGCAAGGTCTTTCATTTTCAAAGCGGATTATTGGATGTGAAGAGTTTTTTGTTTGGATTAATTTCTTAGGCGGTTCCCGTCTCATTTTTGCGAGTTAAGTTAATGAGATCGTGAGGAGCTTCATTTTCAGAGTAGCAGATATATACAGATGCGAAGAGAAAAATCTAAAATTTTATAGTTTATTAAAGCAATTATTTCCTTTTTTTATCGTTATGTACATTCTCCATATTTTATTAATGCTGTAATATTTTGTGTATATTTAATTTTTATTCTTTTCACTTTAACAACAATTTATAGCTGGACGGTCCAGCAGCAGTCAGTAGATGTTAGAATAACGCAGGTGCATCTAAAAGAGAATGCACTACGACAGGATGACAGGCACAGGAAGACATGGCAGCGTGTGCGAGCATCGGAAAGCTATTCACGACGTGGTGCTTTCTTACGAGATTGACGGGAAGAAAAGGGACTGTGTATCTCGTAGAGCCCGGAACGCAACGGAAGAACTCCATTTCCGCCATATTTCTCGTACAATGCCGCAAAATTGACTAGCCAGAAAACGGCGTTTCGTGACTGATGCTGGCGAAGAAGACCCAAGAGGCCGCCATCCAATACCAGTTCCACTTTCCAATCGATCGATCGAAAGATCGCCACTATGCTCCCGGCGAGTGTGTATACAAATGCATTGTACGCTTGTAGCAGCCTTCAAGCGATTTATTGAAATTCCGTTTATCTCTCGGATGCTTCTCAAAAGCAATAATCCATCATTTTAATTCTTTTAAAATTTGATTGGCTTATAAATGTTACGTAATATTACATAGTATTAAATAATTATGTAAGGTTATAATTAATTCATCAAGGACAGAGACAAACTTTTTTCTTAAAATTTAAAATCTTTTTAATGACAAGCTAGTAGCCCTTAAGGAGCCTACTTGCCAAAAATTTTCACCCTGGGATTGATTGTTGGGAGCAGAGGAAGGGAGAATGGTCGATTTTGCGACCATTGGCGATATAAAAGCGATATAAAAAGTTGACCTATTTTTTTTGATCGAAAAATCAACCATCGGTCCTTAATGGCTTAAGTTATTTACGATACTTTGAAGAGAATTTGCGTGCTGGGAAGTATAATTAAAAGGCTAAATAAAACGAATAAATGAATATATTTAAGTACGTGTAATTTAATTAAAAAATTGAATAACATTAAGAAGAAGATTAACTGACAAGAAAAGAAATATTTATTTATCCCTTCACAGAATAGTGCAAAGATTTAATAACGCAGTTTGACGAAAAGTCACTTTTTTTTCTTTTCGAAGTGCCACAGTACATATACCTCAAAGATTTTTTCATGCTGAACACCGTTGACGAATGCCATTGGCAGAATTTACGTCAAAATTTTTAGTGAAATGGGCCAAAAATGAAATTTTCAGCCATTTTCAGTATTTCATTTTACAGAAAAAGAATCGTTTATAAATCTATGGCAACTAAAAATACAATTCAAGATCTTTCAAATAAATTTGAATTTATTATCGTACGATTTATTATCGTACTTATTATTTTTATCAAGTTATGACTATTTGGATTTTAAACTTTCTGTATAATTATGCAGTTAAATAAAAAAATCACTTTTTTTCTTCAAAATACTATAATACATACCTGAAGATTTTTTCACTCTCAACACATATGATACCATTCATTAAAATAGATGTAGTACATCAGAATTTTTAGTAAATTGGAGTATAATAATAAATTGAAGTGCGGTTTTTGCCCATTCCACTCCAATTTGCTCAAAATTCTGATGTGTTACGCAAATTCTGCTCCACGTCGTGTTCAGAGCAAAAAAAACTTCGGAACATATACTGCGATACTTTAGAGAGAATTTGCGTGCTGGAGCGTATAATTAAAGGGCTAAACAAAACGAATAAATGAATATATTTATTAAATACGTGTAAATTTATTTAATTAAAAAATTAAATAACAACGAAGCTTGAAATATTATTAAAGATATCAATGAATCAATTTTATTGATAAAATTGTGTAACTTCTGAAATTTGATTCGCTCGTAAATATTAAATAAATATGTAAAGTTATAATTAAGAGTCAACAAACAAAAGAGAAATATTTACTTATTCCGGATAGATGCAAAAGTTTAATTTAATAATTAAAAAGCTATAAGCAAATGGATCAAAAAATATATTTATCAAGTGCAAACTCATTTGAAAAATTAATGACGACAAAGAATTACTTGAAATGCTATTAAAAATATTAATGTACCAATTTAATTAATAAAATTGTGTAACTTTTTATAATATTCATTTATAAAATGATTCTCTTACATTTGTAAATTAAAAACTAAATCTAGATACTTCTAAATCACAGACAAAAATGTTCTACTTAGACATTTAGGTCAAGAATAAATTTCATGGAAATAAATAACATCTATTTTTGGACCTGGAATGGTTTCATAATGCAACATTCAGCAAAATCCTCAGGACAAGCAGTTTCATTTTCAGAAGATGCAGACGCGGCACGTTAATTTCCGCATGAAACATTCACGGAAAATTCTGGGAGGTAGCCAAAGCGTGCGTATAAATAATGCGGGCTAAATGAAAAATTCTCTTGGGACGGGGGTGAAATTCCATGTCTCTTCGCGAGACTAAACGCGAGACGAAATCCCTGGCAGGAGCTTTTTCGAAAGTGCGACGCAGCTGCGGCTGCGTTCGCGAATTCTCTTCATAAC